GCGCAACTGTTGGATAAAATAAATGTTTTTTCATCATCTATTTAAATAAAGGAGCTCACACACGATGACATATTTTTCAATCCAGTTTTCTTTCAAGGGTAGGACATGAGTATTTTTCAGACTATAAGGCGCACTTGGATTATAACGCGCAATATCAATGAACGGGTCTGTTTTCATACATAAAGCACACCGGATTATAAGGTGCATTAAGCGAAACATTTTTGAGTGCCGTGTATCACATAAAATCGGTTTGAGGTCAGTAAGCACCACCAGAATTAATACATCTCACTGAATTATAAGACTCACTGTCGAATTTTGAGAAAATTAAAGGATTTTATGTGCGTCTTACAGTCCGAAAAATATGGTACATACTTTGAGCCTTGTCAGTGAGAATCTGCAACTGGACAGTGAGGCAGGAAGTGCTTTAATACACGCTTATCAGACAGAGACGAGGTCAAGACGACCTCGGCTTTCCAGCTTACGGACTCGGAGAAGGCCTTGGAGTTTATCAGGTGTGCCTGCAGGCTCCTCTCTGAGCAGACAAAACAACTCTAACTCACACACATTAATTTAACATTAGTTGATAAAATTCCCCTGACACCAACCATCTCCAAAAATAAAGAGTTGGAGCAGCTGGGTCCAGTATATGTTCAGCTTTCAGCAACTACTTATTTTACACAATTGCAGGAAAAGCATGTCAGCAACATATCAGGCTTTTGTGAGGCTAAAAACCTCCAGCATAAAAAAAACTTGGAAATCTCTTATGGATTGTTTTATAGCTGTTCAAGCAAATATATCTCCAGAAAACAAATAAAACTGTGAAATCATCACGATAAATATGTAGGAATTATATTTTATGTTAAAATATTTGACTTTTTCAAAGAGACTTTAGTCTCTGACATGAGGTTATATTTCTTCATCAAGAAAAGGTGTACAATCATTGAGAGTTTAAGTATTTAACTTTGTTATTATTATTATTATTAAATAAAAAATACAAATGAGTGTTATTTTTGTAGCTCATTGAGTTCAAAATACAAGTTTTAAGTACAGTGCATACAAGAACAACTGTTCACGATAAAGACAAAGAAGTGTCTTTTGTTCAACTGTAACATGGGATTTAAAAACTTATTCTCTACATATAAAGTTGTTTATTGTTAAACAGAACAGTTTAATTAGATTGATGACTAATAACTGTTTACAAAGACACTAGCCAAAGCAAAAAGGATACGGAGTTGACAATTGTAGACAAACACTGACCTCTACAGTGACTTCTCTGCCAAGTCAGGCACCCAAAGTGCAGCACAGACGCCTTCTCAGTTGTTAATAAGCCTCTTGCCAAGCTGTCAATTACAGCGAGATGCTGGATGATGCCTCTGAAATATGCAGCAATTACACACACCAGTACTTTAGAACATGAAGTGTGCCATCTCGCAAACGCTCATCTCGTATCTCTTCACGCCAAAGTGCTGTCTGTTATCCACGCTCCAAGTCCTCAGTAGTAATAACCTCCAAAAACAGTCACGCAACAAAACAGGCTGTCCTACAGAGTGACAACAAGGTGATTTAAAGCCAGGATTTAAAAAAAAATTGCTGTACAATGTTCATATCTGACTGAACACTTACATTCATAAAAACATCGTCTACATGGTTGTCAGTGTCAGCGTCCCACAAACACCTAAAGGACATCCTGGAAACACATGTCACAGAAATATTTAATGAGCGTCACTACTTTAAAACTACCTTTTACAAACTGATATTAGACAAATAATAAGCCAAAATATATGATAAAATAAATAAATGTCCTGATAACAACTACAATTAAAATCCACTCAAAAATCCAAAAAGAAAAATATCATGTAAATGTGAAAAGTAGAGTTGATTATATTTGAATATTCTGCTGCAAACGTTGATCTGATGTGAATGTATTGAATACTGACTATCATTTTAAATAATTTTTTAAAAAAAGTCTAAAAAATACTAATGTAAACCCCAATGATATTTGGTAAACAAACAGATTCAAGAACAGTTTTTAACCTACAGCAAATATTTCGTTAAACACAGTAAAATATATAACCTGAGGTGCAATAGATTGTGAAGCATAAACAGAACATATATAGTGTGTGAATCTGTGCTTTAATTTCATTGATCAGTAATAATTATTGCATGGTAATTTATTTATGATTTTAGAAATTTTAATTTATTTTTCCCATTTTTGGGATGATGCACATACTGGATGCCAATTTTTTTAATTTGTTGCACATGTAACAATGATAATAACGGCATTTTATGCAAATCTATTCAAAAACTTTCACAAAAAATATCATGAATATATAGTAAAAAAACACTTTTTTTTTTACAGTTACCTTGAAATTACTTACTTTCACTTACTTTCCCAAGACAAACACACTCTAATGCCAGTACAACATTTTTACCAAACAATAACAGTTGCATTGTACTAAATGATGACTTACTTCACTCCTTGTCCTCGTTGTTCTCCAATAACCACATGCACAACAAGCTTATATCGGTCAAATCCCAAAGCTGCACACAAACCAAAGTAAATGTGTATCATTAAGTGTATAAATGACTGTATTATACAAGAGTAAACAAAAAAAATCTCAATTAAATCATGTTAAATTGGCTACAGTAGAACTGACTAGATTGAGTTAAAAGAAAAAAAAATGCAAATACTTATAAAACTTTATAAAGTTGACTGACTTATTGATGCTGCATTCTGTTCTTTCAGCCACTTAAATCAAAATTAAGCAACCAAGCATGTCATTCTTGCAGCCTTCTCAGACTTTAACATGACATGACAATCATTTTGAAGTGAAAAGTTATTGTGAATATTTTATTTCCTACAATATGGTCAAGATAAAGTACATAAAAAGGAATATTGTAACACTAACACTTCACTCTGTCCTTAATGCTGACTGCCAGTGAGTTGGACAGGTCTTTGACATTCTCCTGCTGGTACTGAACTCCAGACAGCCGCTCCTTCACAATTTCATGAATGCATTCCTTCACAATGGCTGGTTTAAACCTGTAAGGTGTTGATCAAAAAGAATAACAAACGAGGACACGTGTCAGCTCCTGAAAAGGCTCATATATTCATAATAAGCATTTATACAACAAGATGCAATAAAGCGTTTACAAGGTAAATACTTTTCCTGCAGCTCACACACATAATATCTGGAAGCTAAACATACACATACACTGTTATAAAATAAAGTTTACCAAAGAGTGAATAAATGAACAAATTTTAACTTTTACTAATAAAGACCGACGTTTTAAACGAAATGTAATACGTTATACATGTGGTACAAGCTTGAGAGTTTTTGGCACGAGCTATCGTTAGCAAGAGCGCTAGCTAAGCTAATCTTTGCTAAATAAAAACTTAAAATACCAATAATAATCACTTGAGATAACTCACCTGTGCGCATTATTGGGCCGTATAGTCAACGTATCTGATCCCATGTTGTGTAAGTGTGCAGTGTGATCACAAACAAATATTAAAAAGTCGTTCACACAAGCTAACCCAAGGGCTAATGCCGGTCTTGTGCGAAATTCTGCTCCCCCGTGAAAATCTGTTCCC